CATTTGTTAATTTCAGCAAGTGAAAGCTATATATTTATTTCATACGTAGATACCATTTAGGGACCGACCAGACGTGCATATGTCTCCAGAACTATGGGTTGGGTATCCTTACATTAATGTATAATTTTGAATCATTGGATAAAAAAATGAAAAGGCTTATCTTCCTTGTTATCCAGCTTATTATGCTGTATCTGAACTTTGATTTTAACTAGATCATTGTTGAAAAACCAGTTTCAGAATGTTGAATTTGTACAGAGGAGAAGTTTTTAGCTTTTCAAAAGTTTCTTTTAACAGTGGATATTTTTTTCTGATCTACAAGTAGCAGAAGCACAATTTGTGATATGTTTGTTTCTAATTGTATATCAGACAGAAAATTAATTATTTCTGTTTCTAGATCAGAACTTTTAACACCTCTTTGCAATCTGTTGCCATATTTTGAAAGTATTAGTATTATCAAATGGAATTTGAAATAAATGAAGCAGTTGCCTTAATTTCAGGACACTCAAAAATCTAATTGCGGAATTATTTTTCAGCTCGAGAAGATTTTAAGAATGTTTCAGTTTTCTTATATTTCTTGATATAGTTCTCCAAATTCCTTCATAGTTAAAACTAAACATTCCTCTCATTTGTGGAAATTATGACATATTTTCTACGAAATTAATTTTTATTTAAATTGCATTTACCATTTTTTTTTCAAAATTCACTAATAGATTACCCACCCTACTGAAGTTTAAGATTGTTTATTTGTTTTGGTTATTATGTATGTAACAATGGCTAAACCATGCAACCAGGTATGGCCAATAATTTCTTCATTAGTTTTGTTTCTAGATTCTAAAAATTTTATGAAACGTCTGTAACAGAAGATTTAAACATCATTGATGCATTACTAGACTTTAGTGTAGAATTGGGTGCCCCTTCGATTGGCGACATTTTTTCAAAAATTTTGCCGATGAAATCTTACTTCTGGTTACTACGATAGTTTTAACTTTGTTTTAGCTTCCCGAATTTATTTAAATGGAAATAGATTGATGTGTACATGGACATATTTAAGGCAGTGCGTAATGCCTAGTTTGTGCAATTCTAGGATGTTTTTTTAAGTAAAAACAGATCGATGTGTTCATGGACACAGATCTTATGCAATTCTTCGACTTCTTATTTTGGTTTTGTGTAGCGGCCATCTTGAAATTGTGTCTTCCTGGCGCCGATCTTGGCGTCAAAAAAGAATCGCCAATAACAAGGGGCACCCAATTGTAAACTTTTACCCATTACTAAACCAGCTAACTTCAGAATGTAACATTACAGTTCCATAGTCAGCATAAAGTTCATATGTCAGTACATTGGAACAGTCTATTTTGAAATGGTATGGTGCGAGAGTTTTCGATTTTTATAAACGAACTTGAACACGTTTTGATAATGTAAAATCTTATGCATAATAACTTCTGGTAAGCATTGTTCATTAATGTTGCGAGTACATTTTCTTTTAGTGTATTGATATGCTTCTATTTTAATTAAATTACTACAAACTACTGAACTAGAAAATTTTGTAATATGTTTTACCTTTCTTTAGACCAGGTTCTATTCTACAATTTACGGAATTTCTCGGTATTGGACATCTCACATAGCTGACAAATTTCATTCCTATGTTTAGGTTTTATAGTACAATAGGTTGAGCATCCCTACATTAGTATATGACTTTGATTCCTTCGAAAGAAAAAAGAGTATCTTAGTTTTCTTGAATTTTTGGTCAAAATTTTAGTATGTAGGTAATTGCAATAGCTCTTCCACGAAATTGCATTTAAATTTTTTGCAACATTTCAAAATGCTGTATCATTCAATGGCATTTGATGTGTTTTGGCTTGCTGTATTAAAGCTGGGCTCGAACCCGGGCAGCTAGACAATGTTCTTTCCCTGAGTGAAATATTGCTATAATTTCATTAAAGACCTGGTAATATTATAAACTCAATTTATAGACTTTTTTTTTTTAAATTTGTTTAAGATATATAACACCTGCTTCAAAGCTAACAGTAAAGTTTATTTTGTTTATTTGTCATTTAAAATTACCTGCTTATTGTCTTTTGGTGCCATCTTTCTACCAGCGCTGAAATTATTTACTCTTCTCGAAGATCATTATCCCTTTTATTCTGTGTATCCGTAATAACTGTCTAATTTTTTTTTTTTTTTATTCATGTTGTACCCATACATTAAAAACCCCTTTCGCTTACTGTACTTCTGTCGTATTAGGAAAATCATTTGCTTTTCTATCGACTGCAGTCATGATTTTAGTAACAATGTAGCACATTGCTGGAATTTAAAACAAAGAAGGCTACTTTTGAAGTTTTATATATTAAGAAACAATATTAGATATTTCTCTTTGTGTATAATTATTCTTTAATTTCAAAGTAGTTAAAATCTAATGATTCCTTTTTTCCCCCCTTGGCCTCTTCTAGTGTAATTTGTCATCATTTTTGTGCACTCTTGGATTGCAGAACATGATATCGTGAAAGAAAAAGAACGATGATGAAAAACGGAGAATAATGCAGAGCAAAAAGACATCTGTGGCTGGTAATTCTTGTTTTATATTAACTTTATTTCCACTAGAAATGCTTGAATGTTATAATTTGTAGTCCCTTTTCACATGTTGCTTTATATTGGAGTTTTACTAGTTATTTATTTTACATGAACGCTTCACATTATGTTTTAATGTTTAGGGTAGCATTTATGCATTAATTTCTTAGGTTTTGAATTCCATATTGAAGTGTCTGAATTGGTGCTTTCTTATATTGTATTGTAATATTCGAAGTGAGGTTGAACTGTTAATCACACTATAATTATCAGAAGTCTGAGATTTGTTAGAGTTCTGTTGCTTCGTAGTGGTTTCAAAATTACTGCTGTAGTGTAATTTTTTCCCAAGTGGCCTCCTTTCGCATTACGAGGAGGAGGCTAAACATTTTCCTCTCTGTGTGGGCCTAATATTTTCCCTGTCCAACGGGGTCTTCTCTTCCCAACAGGTCAGTGTAATTGCACTGCCTGTGTATAAACCAATTTTGTTTCAGTTTTTTTTCCGAATTTAGAGTCTCTCTATCAAGTGCTGTTTCTCTTAAAACCATTGAAAGTTAAATGTTGAACAAAAAAGAAATGTAAATAAAAATTTAATGAGTACTCGTAAAGAAAGTTAGTGGAGCCAAATTGTCTTCTGTTAAGGCTGCTCAAAATGTGCTTTTTCTTAGTTGTTTTAAGCATACTTTATTATATTTTTCCCTTAATCTGAACTATTTTGGCATATTGTGAAGTTTTATGAACCAATTTGCGAAGATCTATTTAAAATTGATTTCATAAATAAAAATTCATTTTGAAATCAAATCAGAGATGTTTTATTATTATCGAAGTAAAATTCTGCAGATAACTTTCAACTTTGTTTTGAAAAGCACTCTGAAAGTTTCTTTTGGACTTGTTTCCGTTCTCTTGGCAAATACATGACAGAATTATTTTTTGAAAAAGCTGATGTCTTTTGCTTATAAGAATGACTGATGCAACTGTAACCGTGTCGCTGTAAAGAGCACATGTTTCCCAGTAGCTCTTTTAAAGTGTCCGTTTTTTTCTTTAATTGGGTCAATCTCCGCTAGAAGATCAGACATTGCTTTTGTGTTATTAACAATTCCTTCATCTTATCTTCAGTTAAAAGCTCTTCTTCGTAATGAGCGCTTTTATTATCAAGGGGTTTTATAAGCACCCAATTCTTCTTTTGTAATTTTCTGATTCATTGTTTGACTTCTCTATCTTCCATATGTGAAAATTCTTCGGCATCCTTTGCTTTTGAGGTTTGTAAGATTTTTTTGGGCTTCATTTTCAGTCGATGGAAATTGTTTAAAGTAGCAGATAAATTCTTTCCGGTGTTGATGGATGAATGTTGAACCACGTATGAATGAAATTCTAGCAGTGGACAAATTAAATGGAATCCTTTAAGGTACTGCTATACGCGAAATCACGCTTTACAAGTCTGCGCTCAGCAAGTACCTGCTGTATTAAAAATTATAGGCTACGAAACGTGACTTGAAGAATCATATGAGGTATGTAGAATGCAGATTGAGAGTTTAGTCGTGATAAAAACAGTCTATACAGATGACCGGAAATAATAAAAATTTAGATGGATTTACTATAAAGTATTTTACTCCTGGACCATGGATTAGTCATAAACAGTACTTGTGTCAAAACAGATTAAAGTATATGGATTCCCTGTTTAAGAAAGGAATTTCTCTCTGACAGTATGCAGTCTGTATCATAGCTGGAATAGCGAGGTGTTGCGTCTTCAGGGAAACAAAATCTGTTATTCTGCAATTTTTACTGAAAATGTGTGTTTAAATTTTGTTACCTAGATAACAAAATTAGATAACCCTATTTTAACTCTTTTATATGAAAATGAAACCAAATACAGACAAAGAAATAAAATTGCATTCCTTCCCTTAGTGCAGTTATGCGCAACTTTAACTTACTGGGAGCCAATTTTGAGTTTATAAAATTTTGGCTAGCTACAATTACCTAGTGCACTTTTAATATTTCAGTTATAAATGCGTTACACAAAGTATAAAAATGTGTGGTATAATATGTTAAAGAAAAGGTATACTCTTTGTATTATTTACAAAAAATTCAGCAAGATGAAAGTTAAATACAGGGAAATCATATTTTAATGTGAAATTTAACACTGCATTTCTTCTGCGAGGTTTTTTTTTTTCCCCTCTGGTACATGCGATGTTATGGCTAAATCCATGCAGTCGTTGGGATGTTGATTTGTTATCCTGTATCTAAACATTGATTTTAACAAGTTCATTGTTGAAAATCCTCTTTCACATTTTTAAGTAGATCGAAAGCAGGAATTTATCTTTTGAAAAGTTTAACAGTTCATGATTTTTTCTGATCTAGGACTATTCAAATGGCTTTTTGTGATATTCTTGATCTTAATTAGGATGAAAATCAGTTTTTTCCATTTCTAGATCAATAGAATTGTTATTTAACATATTCGCAATCATTTACCATTTTTCTTAAATACTAGTATTATGTAATGGGTTTGAAGTGAATGAAGTAGTTGGCCTAATTTTAAATGCACTCAAAACATCTAATTTAGAAACTACTTTAAGCTCGATGAGATTTAAAAAATGAGTGTTTCAGTTCTCCAGATTTTCAAAGTAGCAAAACGTACATTACATTATGGTAAAAATGTATATTCTTATATTTGTCTAATATTTTCACAAAATAAATTTTGATTTAAAATGAATTTATAATACCCTTTAATTCAAAGACTTTAGTTCTCTCCCCCCCTCAAGTTTAAGATTTAGTTATTATGTCTGTAAGAATGGCTAAATCATAGAACCAGGTATGTTCAGTAATTTCTTCATAAGTTTCGTTTCTGGATTTTTAAAATTCTTCTATGAAACTTTTGTAACAGAAGCTGGGATGGAACCCGGGCAGCCAGACAGAATGTCCCTTCCCTGAGTGAAAATTTCTATCATTTCTTTGAAAGTGACCTTATAATATTTCAGAATAAACCCTCGTAACACTAATAAATGTATATAGACTTTTTTAATGTTTATATAATGCGTGTTTGGTTCTTACAATATTTTGAGCTATTATATTACTAATTCTGTATGTGAATTAAGACAGTTTAATATAGAATACCTGCTTCAAGGCTAAAAGTAAAGTATTTGAATTATGTTTTACCTTTCGTCTGTTTTCAGACGCAGGTTCTATTCTACAATTTACGGAATTTCTCGGTATTGGACATCTCACATAGCTGACAAAATTTCATTCCTATGTTTAGGTTTTATAGTACAATAAGTTGAGCATCCCTACATTAGTATATGACTTTGATTCCTTCGAAAGAAAAAGAGTATCTTAGTTTTCTTGAATTTTTGGTCAAAATTTTAGTATGTAGGTAATTGCAATAGCTCTTCCACGAAATTGCATTTAAATTTTTTGCAACATTTCAAAATGCTGTATCATTCAATGGCATTTGATGTGTTTTGGCTTGCTGTATTAAAGCTGGGCTCGAACCCGGGCAGCTAGACAATATGTTCTTTCCCTGAGTGAAATATTGCTATAATTTCATTAAAGTGACCTGGTAATATTTCAGGATAATTTCTTGTACATTGGACTAAGCTGTCCTCTCTCATGGATGAGAGTACCTAAGTAAAGAACTTAAAATTAGAAACGGTTCTTACGTTAAAATTCTCAATGAAATATTTCTTTTATGGTTTATGACTTTTGTTTCCAAGATGTTCTTCGAAATCTGTTTTTAGAATGGTGTTTTTGAGCTCTTTTTTTTTTTAAAAAAATCTTTAAATGTATTTATGTATAGCTCCTTTAATGTTAGTATATTGCAAGTTTGATTCTTACTCTTTTTTGATCTGTTATGTCACTAATTCTGTGTGTGAATTAAGATAGTTTAATATATAACACCTGCTTCAAAGCTAACAGTAAAGTTTATTTTTTTATTTGTCCTATAAAATTACGTGCTTAATTTCTATTGGTGCCATCTTCCTACCAGCGCTGAAAATTATTTACTTTTCTCGAAGATCATTATCCCTTTTATTCTGTGTATCCGTAACAACTGTCTAATTTTTTTTTCTTTCATTATTCATGTTGTACCCATACATTAAAAACCCCTTTCGCGTAGTGTACCTCTGTCGTATTAGGGAAATCATTTGCTTTTCTATCGACTGCAGTCATGATTTTAGTAACAATGTAGCACATTGCTCGAGTTTAAAACAAAGAAGGCTACTTTTGAAGTTTTATGTATTAAGAAACAATATTAGATATTTCTCTTTGTGTATAATTATTCTTTAATTTCAAAGTAGTTAAAATCTAATGATTCCTTTTTTCCCCCCTTGGCCTCTTCTAGTGTAATTTGTCATCATTTTTGTGCACTCTTGGATTGCAGAACATGATATCGTGAAAGAAAAAGAACGATGATGGAACGGAGAAATAATGCAGAGCAAAAAGACATCTGTGGCTGGTAATTCTTGTTTTATATTAACTTTATTTCCACTAGAAATGCTTGAATGTTATAATTTGTATGTCCCTTTTCACATGTTGCTTTATATTGGAGTTTTACTAGTTATTTATTTTACATGAACGCTTCACATTATGTTTTAATGTTTAGGGTAGCATTTATGCATTAATTTCTTAGGTTTTGAATTCCATATTGAAGTGTCTGAATTGGTGCTTTTTCTTTATATTGTATTGTAATATTCGAAGTGAGGTTGAACTGTTAATCACACTATAATTATCAGAAGTCTGAGATTTGTTAGAGTTCTGTTGCTTCTTGTAGTGGTTTCAAAATTACTGCTGTAGTGTTAATTTTTCCCAAGTGGCCTCCTTTCGCATTACGAGGAGGAGGCTAAACATTTTCCTCTCTGTGTGGGCCTAATATTTTCCCTGTCCAACGGGGTCTTCTCTTCCCAACAGGTCAGTGTAATTGCACTGCCTGTGTATAAACCAATTTTGTTTCAGTTTTTTTCCGAATTTAGAGTCTCTCTATCAAGTGCTGTTTCTCTTAAAACCATTGAAAGTTAAATGTTGAACAAAAAAGAAATGTAAATAAAAATTTAATGAGTACTCGTAAAGAAAGTTAGTGGAGCCAAATTGTCTTCTGTTAAGGCTGCTCAAAATGTGCTTTTTCTTAGTTGTTTTAAGCATACTTTATTATATTTTTTCCCTTAATCTGAACTATTTTGGCATATTGTGAAGTTTTATGAACCAATTTGCGAAGATCTATTTAAAATTGATTCCATAAATAAAAATTCATTTTGAAATCAAAATCAGAGATGTTTTATTATTATCGAAGTAAAATTCTGCAGATTAACTTTCAACTTTGTTTTGCAAAGCACTCTGCAAGTTTCTTTTGGACTTCTTTCCATTCTCTTGGAAAATGCATGACAGAATTATTTTTTTGAAAAAGCTGATGTCTTTTGCTTATAAGAATGACTGATGCAACTGTAACCGTGTCGCTGTAAAGAGCACATGTTTCCCAGTAGCTCTTTTAAAGTGTCCTGTTTTTTCTTTAATTGGGTCAATCTCCGCTAGAAGATCAGACATTGCTTTTGTTGTTTTAACAATTCCTTCATCTTATCTTCAGTTAAAAGCTCTTCTTCGTAATGAGCGCTTTTATTATCAAGGGGTTTTATAAGCACCCAATTCTTCTTTTGTAATTTTCTGATTCATTGTTTGACTTCTCTGTCTTCCATATGTGAAAATTCTTCGGCATCCTTTGCTTTTGAGATTTGTAAGATTTTTTGGACTTCATTTTCAGTCGATGGAAATTGTTTAAAGTAGCAGATAAATTCTTTCCGGTGTTGATGGATGAATGTTGAACCACGTATGAATGAAATTCTAGCAGTGGACAAATTAAATGGAATCCTTTAAGGTACTGCTATACGCGAAATCACGCTTTACAAGTCTGCGCTCAGCAAGTACCTGCTGTATTAAAAATGATAGGCTACGAAACGTGACTTGAAGAATCATATGAGGTATGTAGAATGCAGATTGGGAGTTTAGTCGTGATAAATAAACAGTCTATACAGATGACCGGAAATAATAAAAATTTAGATGGATTTACTATAAAGTATTTTACTCCTGGACCATGGATTAGTCATAAACAGTACTTGTGTAAAAACAGATTAAAGTATATGGATTCCCTGTTTAAGAAAGGAATTTCTCTCTGACAGTATGCAGTCTGTATCATAGCTGGAATAGCGAGGTGTTGCGTCTTCAGGGAAACAAAATCTGTTATTCTGCAATTTTTACTGAAAATGTGTGTTTTAAATTTTGTACCTAGATAACAAAATTAGATAACCCTATTTTTAACTCTTTTTATATGAAAATGAAACCAAATACAGACAAAGAAATAAAATTGCATTCCTTCCCTTAGTGCAGTTATTATGCGCAACTTTAACTTACTGGGAGCCAATTTTGAGTTTATAAAATTTTGGCTAGCTACAATTACCTAGTGCACTTTTAATATTTCAGTTATAAATGCGTTACACAAAGTATAAAAATGTGTGGTATAATATGTTAAAGAAAAGGTATACTCTTTGTATTATTTACAAAAAATTCAGCAAGATGAAAGTTAAATACAGGGAAATCATATTTTAATGTGAAATTTAACACTGCATTTCTTCTGCGAGTTTTTTTTCCCTCTGGTACATGTTATGGCTAAATCCATGCAGTCGTTGGGATGTTGATTTGTTATCCTGTATCTGAAACATTGATTTTAACAAGTTCATTGTTGAAAATCCTCTTTCACATTTTTAAGTAGATCGAAAGCAGGAATTTATCTTTTTAAAAGTTTAACAGTTCATGATTTTTCTGATCTAGGACTATTCAAATGGCTTTTTTTGTGATATTCTTGATCTTAATTAGGATGAAAATCAGTTATTTCCATTTCTAGATCAGTAGAATTGTTATTTAACATATTTGCAATCTTTTACCATTTTTCTTAAATACTAGTATTATGTAATGGGTTTGAAGTGAATGAAGTAGTTGGCCTAATTTTAAATACACTCAAAACATCTAATTTAGAAACTAATTTAAGCTCGATGAGATTTTCCAAATGTTTTTCAGTTTTCGTTTTCACGCTTTAGTTCTCCAGATTTTCAAAGTGGCAAAAACGTACATTACATTATGGTAAAAATGTATATTCCTTATATTTGTGTAATATTTTTCACAAAATTAATTTTGATTTAAAATGAATTTATAATACCCTTTAATTCAAAGACTTTAGTTTAGTTCTCCCCCCCTCAAGTTTAAGATTTAGTTATTATGTCTGTAAGAATGGCTAAATCATAGAACCAGGTATGTTCAATAATTTCTTCATAAGTTTCGTTTCTGGATTTTTAAAATTCTTCTATGAAACTTTTGTAACAGAAGCTGGGATGGAACCCAGGCAGCCAGACAGAATGTCCCTTCCCTGAGTGAAAATTTCTATCGTTTCTTTGAAAGTGACCTTATAATATTTCAGAATAAACCCTCGTAACACTAATAAATGTATATAGATTTTTTTAATGTTTATATAATGCGTGTTTGGTTCTTACAATATTTTGAGCTATTATATTACTAATTCTGTATGTGAATTAAGACAGTTTAATATAGAACACCTGCTTCTTCAAGGCTAAAAGTAAAGTATTTGAATTATGTTTTACCTTTCGTCTGTTTTCAGACGCAGGTTCTATTCTACAATTTACGGAATTTCTCGGTATTGGACATCTCACATAGCTGACAAAATTTCATTCCTATGTTTAGGTTTTATAGTACAATAAGTTGAGCATCCCTACATTAGTATATGACTTTGATTCCTTCGAAAGAAAATGAAGTATCTTAGTTTTCTTGAATTTTTGGTCAAAATTTTAGTATGTAGGTAATTGCAATAGCTCTTCCACGAAATTGCATTTAAATTTTTTTGCGACATTTCAAAATGCTGTTTAATTCAATGGCATTTGATGTGTTTTGGCTTGCTGTATTAAAGCTGGGCTCGAACCCGGGCAGCTAGACAATATGTTCTTTCCCTGAGTGAAATATTGCTATAATTTCATTAAAGTGACCTGGTAATATTTCAGGATAATTTCTTGTACATTGGACTAAGCTGTCCTCTCTCATGGATGAGAGTACCTAAGTAAAGAACTTAAAATTAGAAACGGTTCTTACGTTAAAATTCTGAATGAAATATTTCTTTTATGGTTTATGACTTTTGTTTCCAAGATGTTCTTCGAAATCTGTTTTTAGAATGGTGTTTTTGTGCCCTTTTTTTAAAAAAAAATCTTTAAAAGTATATATGTATAGCTCTTTTAATGTTAATATATTGCGAGTTTGATTCTTACTCTTTTTTGATCTGTTATGTCACTAATTCTGTGTGTGAATTAAGATAGTTTAATATATAACACCTGCTTCAAAGCTAACAGTAAAGTTTATTTTGTTTATTTGTCATTTAAAATTACCTGCTTATTGTCTTTTGGTGCCATCTTTCTACCAGCGCTGAAATTATTTACTCTTCTCGAAGATCATTATCCCTTTTATTCTGTGTATCCGTAATAACTGTCTAATTTTTTTTTTTCTTTGTTTCATGTTGTACCCATACATTAAAAACCCCTTTCGCTTACTGTACTTCTGTCGTATTAGGAAAATCATTTGCTTTTCTATCGACTGCAGTCATGATTTTAGTAACAATGTAGCACATTGCTGGAATTTAAAACAAAGAAGGCTACTTTTGAAGTTTTATATATTAAGAAACAATATTAGATATTTCTCTTTGTGTATAATTATTCTTTAATTTCAAAGTAGTTAAAATCTAATGATTCCTTTTTTCCCCCCTTGGCCTCTTCTAGTGTAATTTGTCATCATTTTTGTGCACTCTTGGATTGCAGAACATGATATCGTGAAAGAAAAAGAACGATGATGAAAAGAACGGAGAATAATGCAGAGCAAAAAGACATCTGTGGCTGGTAATTCTTGTTTTATATTAACTTTATTTCCACTAGAAATGCTTGAATGTTATAATTTGTAGTCCCTTTTCACATGTTGCTTTATATTGGAGTTTTACTAGTTATTTATTTTACATGAACGCTTCACATTATGTTTTAATGTTTAGGGTAGCATTTATGCATTAATTTCTTAGGTTTTGAATTCCATATTGAAGTGTCTGAATTGGTGCTTTCTTTATATTGTATTGTAATATTCGAAGTGAGGTTGAACTGTTAATCACACTATAATTATCAGAAGTCTGAGATTCGTTAGAGTTCTGTTGCTTCGTAGTGGTTTCAAAATTTCTGCTGTAGAGTTAAATTTTTTCCCATGTGGCCTCCTTTCGCATTACGAGGAGGAGGCTAAACATTTTCCTCTCTGTGTGGCCTAATATTTTCCCTGTCCAACAGGGTCTTCTCTTCCCAACAGATCAGTGTAATTGCACTGCCTGTGTATAAACAAATTTTGTTTCAGTTTTTTCCGAGTTTAGAGTCTCTCTATCAAGTGCTGTTTCTCTTAAAACCATTGAAAGTTAAATGTTGAACAAAAAAGAAATGTAAATAAAAATTTAATGAGTACTCGTAAAGAAAGTTAGTAGAGCCAAATTGTCTTCTGTTAAGGCTGCTCAAAATGTGCTTTTTCTTAGTTGTTTTAAGCATACTTTATTATATTTTTTCCTTAATCTGAACAATTTTGGCATATTGTGAAGTTTTTTGAACCAATTTGCGAAGATCTATTCAAAATTGATTCGATAAATAAAAATTCATTTTGAAATCAGATCAGAGATGTTTTATTATTATCGAAGTAAAATTCTGCAGATTAACTTTCAACTTTGTTTTGAAAAGCACTCTGAAAGTTTCTTTTGGACTTCTTTCCGTTCTCTTGGCAAATACATGACAGAATTATTTTTTGAAAAAGCTGATGTCTTTTGCTTATAAGAATGACTGATGCAACTGTAACCGTGTCGCTGTAAAGAGCACATGTTTCCCAGTAGCTCTTTTAAAGTGTCCGTTTTTTTTCTTTAATTGGGTCAATCTCCGCTAGAAGATCAGACATTGCTTTTCTGTTATTTAACAATTCCTTCATCTTATCTTCAGTTAAAAGCTCTTCTTCGTAATGAGCGCTTTTATTATCAAGGGGTTTTATAAGCACCCCAATTCTTCTTTTGTAATTTTCTGATTCATTGTTTGACTTCTCTGTCTTCCATATGTGAAAATTCTTCGGCATCCTTTGCTTTTGAGGTTTGTAAGATTTTTTTGGGCTTCATTTTCAGTCGATGGAAATTGTTTAAAGTAGCAGATAAATTCTTTCCGGTGTTGATGGATGAATGTTGAACCACGTATGAATGAAATTCTAGCAGTGGACAAATTAAATGGAATCCTTTAAGGTACTGCTATACGCGAAATCACGCTTTACAAGTCTGCGCTCAGCAAGTACCTGCTGTATTAAAATGATAGGCTACGAAACGTGACTTGAAGAATCATATGAGGTATGTAGAATGCAGATTGGGAGTTTAGTCGTGATAAATAAACAGTCTATACAGATGACCGGAAATAATAAAAATTTAGATGGGATTTACTATAAAGTATTTTACTCCTGGACCATGGATTAGTCATAAACAGTACTTGTGTAAAAACAGATTAAAGTATATGGATTCCCTGTTTAAGAAAGGAATTTCTCTCTGACAGTATGCAGTCTGTATCCATAGCTGGAATAGCGAGGTGTTGCGTCTTCAGGGAAACAAAATCTGTTTATTCTGCAATTTTTACTGAAAATGTGTGTTTAAATTTTGTTACTTAGATAACCCTATTTTTAACTCTTTTTATATGAAAATGAAACCAAATACAGACAAAGAAATAAAATTGCATTCCTTACCTTAGTGCAGTTATGCGCAACTTTAACTTACTGGGAGCCAATTTTGAGTTTATAAAATTTTGGCTAGCTACAATTACCTAGTGCACTTTTAATATTTCAGTTATAAATGCGTTACACAAAGTATAAAAATGTGTGGTATAATATGTTAAAGAAAAGGTATACTCTTTGTATTATTTACAAAAAATTCAGCAAGATGAAAGTTAAATACAGGGAAATCATATTTTAATGTGAAATTTAACACTGCATTTTTTCTGCGAGTTTTTTTTTTCCCCTTTGGTACATGCGATGTTATGGCTAAATCCTTGCAGTCGTTGGGATGTTGATTTGTTATCCTGTATCTTAACATTGATTTTAACAAGTTCATTGTTGAAAATCCTCTTTCACATTTTTAAGTAGATCGGAAAGAGGAATTTATCTTTTTAAAAGTTTAACAGTTCATGATTTTTTTGATCTAGGACTATTCAAATGGCTTTTTGTGATATTCTTGATCTTAATTAGGATAAAAATAAGTTATTTCGATTACTAGATCAATAGAATTGTTATTTAACATATTTGCAATCTTTTACCATTTTTCTTAAATACTAGTATTATGTAATGGGTTTGAAGTGAATGAAGTAGTTGGCCTAATTTTAAATGCACTCAAAACATCTAATTTAGAAACTAATTTAAGCTCGATGAGATTTTACAAATGAGTGTTTCAGTTCTCCAGATTTTCAAAGTGGCAAAACGTACATTACATTATGGTAAAAATGTATATTCCTTATATTTGTATAATATTTTCACAAAATTAATTTTGATTTAAAATGAATTTATAATACCCTTTAATTCAAAGACTTTAGTTTAGTTCTCTCCCCCCCCTCAAATTTAAGATTTAGTTATTATGTCTGTAAGAATGGCTAAATCATAGAACCAGGTATGTTCAATAATTTCTTCATAAGTTTCGTTTCTGGATTTTTAAAATTCTTCTATGAAACTTTTGTAACAGAAGCTGGGATGGAACCCAGGCCAGACAGAATGTCCCTTCCCTGAGTGAAAATTTCTATCATTTCTTTGAAAGTGACCTTATAATATTTCAGA